GATGTTATTTAAGATTTGTTTGTCAAAGAGATGCAATCAATTGTTGATGTAATTGGCCCACTGCATGTCCAATGATACCCACTTTGCTTCCTGGTTTAATGATCAATGTAGAAGTATGAAAAGAGCTTGCCGTAAATTGGAAAAAGTATATCGAATAAACCCTAACGATGTTAATAAAATTGCCTGGAAAAAGGCTGTTTTCAAAAAATTCTGTTTACACTGAATCAAAAAATTTGTATTTCAAAAACTTGATCCTTGTTCATAAATCTAGTCCTAAAAAATTGTGGGCAACCATTGATAAATTATTAGGTAAATCTTCCACCAGTCATTCAGTCGATGAATCTAATAAAAAGTTTACCCAATCACAATTTGCAACATTTTTTAGTGATAAGATTAAAAAAGTTAGAGAACATACAAATTCCTTGCTTGAGCCTTCCAGTGCTCCTAGTGATTTAGGGTTGTCTGACTCGTTCAATTTTTTTATTCCATGTTCTGGTGATGAAATTAAGAAAGTTGTGCTCAATTCACCATTAAAGACATTTTTTCCATGACATTATTCCTGTGCGTATTTTCAAACAATATATAGATTTGTTCATACCGTTTCTAACATTTTTTATCAATTTGTGTTTTTACACTGGTTATTTTCCTAAGGCGTAAAAACATGCCGTTGTGACTCCCTTATTGAAAAAAGCCATCTCTTGATAAGGATGATATTGCAAATTATCGCCAGATTTCAAACCTCTTGTTTTTATCAAAAGTCGTTGAACGTTTAGTTCTAAAACAATTTTTAAATCATTTGAATGTGCATGGTTTAATTCCAATCCATCAGTCAGGTTACAGGCAGTAGCACTCTACTGAAACTGCTCTGATCGATATTTCTTCTGAATTGTCTGCATCTATGGATTCACAAAATGTTTCACTTTTGGCTTTATTAGATATGAGCGCTGCGTTTGACTGCGTCGAACAATCACTCCTTGTTCATAAACTTAAATGTAGTTTTGGTGTTGCCGGTGCGGTTGCTTCATGGTTCGAGTTCTATTTGGTTGGTAGGACGCAACAGATTTGTTTCAATAATTTTCTGTCCAATGTCGAAGTTGTTATTTCCGGTGTGCCCCAAGGTTCTGTTTTAGGACCTCTTTTGTTTATATTGTACACGGCCGATGTTTTTCCTATCATTGAAAAATATGATTTCAGATACCATGCCTTTGCTGATGATTATTTGCAAATAATTGGTTGCGGTAACACATACCCGAGTTTTGATGCGATGGTTGATAGATTTTTACGTTGTTTTAATGTGTTAAGTGAATGGATGGTAAATAATAAACTAAAACTTTTGTATTTGATACTGCAATGTCAATGGATCAACATACAAAGTCATTGGTTAAAGATTGTTGCTATCAACTTCGCAAACTCAGGCAAGTAAAAAATAACCTTGAAATGTTTGGTTAACGCATTCATTCATTTAAAATTGGATTACTACAACAGCATTATTTACGGAGTTTCAAATCAATTGATTAATCGTCTTCAGTGAATTCAAAATCGTGCTGTTAAGATCATTTCCAGAGAGTTAAAATGAAACTGTATATAGACTACATAAACTGGGTTGTAAAATGATAATTAAGGTTAGAAACGTATACTGTACATTATGCTTCATAGACGTCTGCATTGTAAACCAGTCGTACAATAGTTAAGCAGGCCATAGAGAAAATACGACCATGTCAGTAATACTCTACGAGATCTCCATTGGCTCACAATTAAAAATAGAATCATCTTCAAGCATGCCGTTGTGGTTTAAGCCCGAGCTATTTGTCTGAAAGGTGTTTATACAAAACGAAAACTATTCATCACTTGCAATTACGCTCAGATGATCAGTTATTTTTATCGGTGCCAAAAACAAATTTGATGGTGGCCAATAGGAATTTTGCCGTTGCTGGTCCACAAAATTAGAACACACTACCATACAGCCTCTATCAACCTGGTTTAACTGTTTAGAAGTTTCGCAAAGATTTGAAGACGTATCTTTTTTCCCGATGATTTCACTAGACGAAAGCAGCGCCTTTGAGTTGCATTAAAGGGCGCTATATAAATTCTTTAATAATAATAATAATAATAATAATAATGATACACACAAACAGACACAAAAAAAAGTTAAAGACCATATACAGCTGTTGCAAAACCTGTCAGAATCCATCCCACTTAATCAATCTCACATTCAGTAGTGGATTATTTTCAACCATATTTTATCAAGCAGTGTGTCACAAAGCTCTGTCTGTCTGTCTGTCTGACTGTCTGAAATCATCAAACATGGAAGACCTCAAGAGATTTCACGTGTCAGTTCAGAAGAAATGAAACTTCAAATTTTCATGAAAAAGTTTGAATATGCAGGCAGTATGTATGTACCATTATATATATATCAGCCATCATGAAAATTATGACGAGGTTATGGTTGAAAGAAAAAAAGTACTACAAGTGTTTGTTACAGCAACACACACACCACACACACACACCACACACAATCAAACAAACAAAAACATGCAAGAGACAGACAAACAACCAGACCATACATAAATACATACAACATTATTAAACAAACACACAGATGGATAGACCAACTAAATCGATACATTAACTTACATCATATTTTGGCATGAGTAATTAATTGATTGATTGAAAAATAAATAAATGCATAAACTAACCAATTAGCTAATTACTGATATATAAACATGATTATCGAATATAAAAATCATAAACGGATAGAAAAAAATGAATAAAATAAATAAAACCAAAAAGCCAAAATGTAATTAAAGATTTTTTTCTGTAAAAAAAAGTAATTAAAGATGACGGAAATATGATTCACTGATGGTGACAGAAAATTATTTCATATGAAAATATCTATTGAAAAAAAAATTAACAATCACAACAATTGAAACAAATCAAACAACCACCTAGACAGTTAAACAAAATCACAATTTGTCAAAAACAATCATTTTCCTTTTGGCTCTACCATTACTACTACCTCTACCACTACTACTACTCACTAAATTCTTATTAACCTTTATGACACCAAATAACATATAACGAAAGCAGTAACATTTAATAACATCAATACCAAATAACACCAAAAACATTAACATAATAATGCAAGGAAGAAAAAAAACATATTAACATTAACATAACATCATTTGTGCTATCAGTTAAGGGCCGACTGAATAAAACAGGCTACAGGCACACAGAGCCCCATTCATTCATTCATCCATTCATTCACACATTCATTACTTCATTCATTCATTCACTCAGTCATTCAATTCTTCATTCATTCACACATTCATTTCTTCATCCACGCATTCACTCAACAATGAAAATTGTAATTGAATAAAAAACATTTTCATTGAATGTGATAAGAAATAGAATTTTTATAAGCATTAAACACTAATGGGGTATACATATATATTTACACATATCTACAAATATTTACATGCATACTCACACGCACACGCGCGCGCACGCGCACACACACACAAACATACACAAATGCAAACATGTTTGAATATCAAGAGACACTAAATATATCATATTAACATGTATATATAATTACATAAATATAAATGCACGCACGCGCACACACACACACACACATATATATATATACAATATGACATGATTATAACATAATCCCTAATATTCAAATGTTTACATTCAAATCATCCCTCATCATCATCACAATTATCATAGTACACACACGCACACACACACACGCACGCACGTAACCATTGCACATATATATAATACACAAATGCACATGTGGAAAGTGTACACGCACACACGCACGCACAAGAACGCGCGCACGCACACACAAACGTTTATGTACAAATGCACGAAGTCTATATTCAACATGATAATAAATGAAATATGAAAGAATTAATACAGAGAAGTATAAATTAAACGTTTGAAAATAAATCATTTGTAGGGACATAATTCTTATGTAGAATTTACATAACACTCAAAGTGAATGATCAATCACCTCAATCAATAAAATTGAATTAAAAACAGCATTGATAAACACAGTAGCCAAAAACACACACAACAACAACAGCAACACAGTATTACAACAGTTGTACTAAAGTAACACGAAGTACATGGTGAAATATTAAAGATGAGTACACTAATGCAAAGAAGAAAAAGGAGAAGGTACTATGGAGTGTTTGTTGTGCTAAGTGCCAAGATACCAGAGTTCTGTATGGTAGAATTAATAAGAATATATGGATGAATGAATGAATGAATGAATGAATAAAGTTAACACACTAAATACAACAAGTGTTTTTGTACATCAATCATCATCACCATCATCATCATTTAAAAAACTATAATCATCAAAACTGTTATCTGAACCAATCTGATATGATGCAAAGAAAAATGTTAACCACTGCCCATATCATCAGCTTCATCGTTATACTGATAACATGGTTTAACTAACAAATTCATAAAGTTGATGATGACGAAGATTCTTGTCTTCTTGCTCACGTTTGGATCTGACCTAGTTTTGTTGCCATTGTTGATTTGATAGCATTGGAAGTAGTTGTTGGGACTGTTGGTATTGTAGACATCAAATTTGCAGAGGATGAATGTTGATGATGATAATGATGATTTTGATAATGGTGCAGATGATGATGGATGTTACTGATGGGGTTTGAAGGTCTGCTGATGTTGCTGGCCCCATTAAAGAGCAGTGGTACGGAGGCTGAGTGAGTATTCGTTGAGGAAGACAACGAAGATGACAATTTGTCTATGGGTTCGATGTTCAACAGCCCATCTCCGTTACTCTGGCTACCAATGTTGATGTTGTGCATTGTTGTTGCAAGTTTGTTGTAGCTGCTGTTTGTGGCGGCGTGAGATGTTGTTGTGGGTGCCGATGCTGATGATGATACCAGCAGATAGGTTGTTTGTTGGGTGCTGCTGTTGCTGCTGATGGTGGTGTCATTTGATGACTTGTTGGATGAGTGTCGACGCAGCCATGGGTGGTGTATGGCCTGAGCGGGAGTCAGCCTCTTTGCAGGATCCCAGTTGAAACACTGAGTCAAAAATTCAACGAACATTTTGTCATCACAGTTCTTTAATGTTCTTGACAAATCTCTGGTACCAGGTGGTCCCCTATACTTGCCCTTGCTGGTTCGAAAGCCCACAAGTTGCACTTGGCCATCAGGTCGTTGAGAGACTGTACAGTATCGTGGGAGGCCTCGCGAGTTGATGAAGTAACGAGCTCGTTTCGAAATGTCGATAATTGATTGCGGAGGCATGCCTAGAACCTCCATGATGCACGATAATTGATCGGATTCATCCTCCCCAGCAAACAATGGATATCCGGTGTAGAGCTCTGCAAGAATGCAACCGAGACTCCACATGTCGATGGCCATGGTGTACTTGCTGCCCAGGATCACTTCAGGAGCTCTGTAGAATCTGGACTGTATATAAGTGTAAACACACTGGTCATCTGAACAGCTCGATCCAAAGTCAATGACCTTTGCACCACTCCTACCCTGTTGCTTCAGTAAAATATTTTCTGGCTTCAGGTCACAGTGAATGATGCGATTTTTGTACAGACCGTCGAGACATTGAAGTATGGAGTGGGAGAACTTCCTGACCAATTGCAGACTGAATCCATGAAACTTGTTTTTTTTTATGAGTTCGTAAAGATTGATGCTCAGCAGTTCAAAGGTCATGCATATGTGGTTCCTGAACATGAAGTTATCAAACATGTGCACGACATTCATTTTGTTTTCACTATCGGCTGATCTTAATTTCTCAAGAATTCTAATTTCTTCTTTGGCCTGTTTATGAAATCGTTTTTCATTTCTTACAATTTTCAGTGCCACATATGACCGAGTTTTGTGATCGTACGCCTTCAAGACTTGACCAAAGCTTCCTTTACCGATAACTTTGAGTAACTCATACCTGTACAAAATATGATCATGACAGGTATGTATGTAGGTGCCCTGTTCGTCATCGTAACCATTGTTGTGCTGAGCCCCTAGAACACCAGCTCTTTTCGTGGCGTTGAGTCCGATGAAGTATATTTCAGGGTAGGAGAGAATTTCTGTTTGCTCCAAAGGTGTCAGTTTGTGGCCGTACTGTCGCAAAACAATATCAGATGTTAGTGCATAAGAACTCTGTGCTGGTAGGTTATTTGAAACTGGAGAAAATCGATTATCAAGCTTGTAGTCTGGTGAGTTTTTATCTAATCCGTCAACTTGGCCATCAGTCTCTACGTAAACTTCTTTACTTTTCAAATATCCGTTTGTAGCCATCGTCGATAAAGCAACTGACATTGTTCTGCTGTGCCTCAAATTTGTTGATTGAATTTTAAATCAGTAGTGAAGTAATAAAAGAATTTTTTCATCTATACTTTTTATTTAGATTTTTCTTTCTCTCTCTTAGTTCTATGATGACGAAATATTTTCTTCCGTTAGTCAGCTATATGAAAAAATTTATAAAAATTAAATTATAAACTATTATTATAATTATAATTTATTGAAAAATATTTGTCTTATCAAAATTTGAAATTGAATATAAAAAGTATATTTATCTTATATTCTCCAACCTCGCAAAAATGAATATAAGATTAATCTGTAATTGTATCCAGTATTTTTTTAATTGATTCAGGAAAAGGAACAAGAATCCGAAATTTTAATATTAATGTAATTTATAATAGAATAATAATTATAACAATACTTTCTTAAATATATTATAATATTAAAATATTATTAAAAAATTAAACTTGTTTATTTCCTAATATAAACAAGTATTTTTTTTTACTAGAACGTTTTAATTTTTATATAGCTACTTAGTACAGTGTAGTAACTGAATGAATCAACATTGGATAAAACAAAGAATAGCAATGATTAACGACAACCCTGTATCTATTTCTTCTTCTCTTTTGTTACCAGTCACATCTTATCAAATTATAAGATAGATTTACAATTGAAAGCGTTTCTAAAAATTTCATTTTGAATTAAATTTCCAATTACTAAATAATTTATTAATTAAATTTTGATTTCAATTGTTAAATGCAATTGAAAGAAAATAAATTTTCGCTGAGATAAACCTACTAGGCGATCAAAACAACTATAAAATGGCAGAAGGCTGGCGGAAGTCTATTTAAATAACCCCTGGTTCTCAGCAGTATTTAAAAGTAACTTCCACCCAATCAATTCCTTATAGCGCATTTTAAAAGATAAGTGAACCATTCTCATTTAAGGCTGAAAATAAGGTTAAAAAAGTTTAATACACTTTTCCTAGGTTCAGAAAAACCAACAACATACAAACATCATATATGAGTACACTCCATGGATAAAACACGTTTAAATGTAAATAACTTTGTGACAACTTTTAAGAAGGCGACCTGTAATCTACACTTTAACTGATCTATACTATACTTAGAATTGTAGAAGGCCATTTTCCATTTTTATAAGCACCAAAATTTTCGACATGGAAACGGCTAGCAGCCATACACAACGGAAAAATATTCAATTTTCAGAAGTTTTCTTACACTTTGAGGTGTTTTACGATCAAGTACACATTTGCCATCTGGTGGGTAAATTAAAAAAACTATTTTTTTTTTTGAAGAAACATGAGATGCTATAAATACCGGATTTTAAAATAGTCGTTTAAATTTGAGGGAAAAAAGATGAGATTCGTTAGTTAGTGAGTTTGTGAGGACTCTAAAACCTAAAAAAAGTGTTCTAATTTGAGTTATCAGTTAAATTTTACAAAACATTCTCTTAATATCATGTCAGATGAAGTTTATTATTTGTAGATGTAAGTTTTAATTTTTATAAAAAAACAAATCTCAAAATATTAATATTAATAATTTTCATATATTTATTACATGGATATTATATATATCCATGATTTATTATTAACTTTTTTAAAAAAATATGACAATATTGTTTACGATGAAAAAGTGAAATTCCATGCAAGTTTCCACACACGCAACGTAACCAGCTTCGAAATGTCAGATGTGGTCTCAGTTATTTATGTTAAATCAGTTAAAATAACAAATTAATTAATTCATTAATTAAATTTTGATTAATGTAATTAATTTACTTCATTTTTTATATAAATCTTAAATTTTTAAAAATGTCTGGCTGGGTTGGCTTCACTGATGAAGACTTGAAACGTCTGAAAAAATGTCCAGATGATGATCAGGAAGGTAGTAAAAATAATTTGATTAATTTAATTTTAATAACAATTAAAAATTTATTAAAAGTTAGATAAATTAATAATTGCATATAATTATATTAAATAATTAAATTGATGATTAAATAAAAAATTATGTGATTATTAGGATTACCATTACTTTACTTTACTGATTACAAAAAATTGTAATTTTAAATTTTAGTTCTAGGAAAAAGGTCATTGCAAAAGAAACTAGCCACAAAAACCAACAATCCCATGGCACCTGGACATCCGCCATCATCATTTTCCCCAACTGTCAATCAGCTGAATAATACAAGCAATGCTAGAACAACATCCACAAAAAATTTTCATTTTGAAGACATCAATGACAGTGCAAAACTAAGCACTGGAAGAAAACTCTTAAGAGAAAGTGAAAGTGAAACTGCTGATGGGAAAAATGTTCAAAAATCCCATGAAAATCCCAAACAACCACAACAAAAAAAAACTAACCCAGATAGCAAAGAATTAGCAAATAATTCAAAACAATCTGAATCACAAAACAAAGAATATGACAACGTCATCATATCTCAGGTTAAAAAACAAACCATAGATAATATTAACAACAACAAAATTTTAGTCAATCAGGAAAAAACCAATAATAATAATAATAATAACAATAAAGTTAATAATGATGATAATGTTATTTATGATGATGACAAATTGCCTCAAGTTATTCTGGATGAAAATACAATTGTTGAGTTAGTATTGTTGTTGGTCTAATTATATTCCATAACCTGTATATATTTATTTTATAATGTTATATAAACGAACGAACTAATGAATGAATGAATGAATGAATAAAGGAATAGATGGTGAATGGATGAACGAATGAATAGATGAATGAATTAATGAAGAAAAGAACAAACGAATGGATGAACGAGTGATTGGACGGATATGTTAGGAGCCGTGCATTTGATTAATACAAATTTCATAAATTTGGAAAATAAATTATTTTGAATTATAATTTTTTTAAATTGAAAATTATTTTTTTCTGAAAATATAGATAAATTTTTATAATTAGGAGAGGAAAAGAAAATTTAGGAAAATTTCGAGAGCAGCAGAAACAAATTGAAGAGATGAACAAGAGGAAGAAAGCCATGCTCTGCAGTGCCATATACGAAAAGTCATTCATTCGTTCATTTATTCATTCTTTTGTTTATTCATTCATTCATTCATTCATTCATTCATTCATTTATTCAGTCATTCATTCATTTATTTATTTGTTCATTCATTCATCCCAATTTTTAAAATTACAAAGGCAACACACACACACACGCACGCACACGCACGCACATACAATGCACTTTAACTATTACGCAATCACGCCACACTTCATCGTTAACAAAACAACGACATTAACAAACAACAGCACACACGCACAAGAACAACACAATCATAAAATCGCTGGCCACATGACATGACAGGCAGAAGCGAACGAAGGCAGAAGCGATGAAACTGTCGAAGATCAAAGCAGAACTGGACCAACTCGATCAGATGGTCGTCTCTGATGTTTCTATGATTCGAGATCGAATCGAGGAGGCCAGTAGGAACTATTTAGCCGCACAGTAAGTTTCGCTCTGTGGTTGGTTGTATTGTATTGTATTGTATTGTATTGTATTGTATTGTATTGTATTGTATTGTATTGTATTGTATTGTATCGTAATGTATCGTGTTGTATTGTATTATATTATATTGTATTGTATTGTATTGTGTTGTATTGTATTGTATTGTATCGTGTTGTATCGTGTTGTATCGTATGATATAGAGATAAGAGATGAAAAAGTTATTCCAAATTATGTGAAAAATGCAAAGACGTAGATACAAAGCGGCGGAAAAAGAGTTTATCGATTCAAAAGTGGATCTACATAACAAGTGCGAGTTGAAGGAGCGACTGACGGAACACCTCTACGCTGTCATCCATCGCAACGAGCAGAGGAAAGCAGACAAGTTGCAGGAGCTGTTGAGCAAGTTGGAGCTGGAAGTGGAGGGAGACGATGAGGATGTTGCTGCTACTGCTGCTGCTGCGAATTCGGTTGGCTGCTTGTTTGCTGTGGCTATTTGTGTTGTTGGTGTTGTGGTTGTATATTCACCATCATTTTGGTTGGTTTGTTGTGTGGTTGTTGCGGTTGTATATTCATGACACTATCGTTATTATCATCATCATTATTTAGTTCACCATCACCAGTTTTCATAACTTCATCATCTCCATACTCACCCTATTCCGACCATTTACAGGCAAGCCCTATAATCCTCCCACCACCCTCATCTCAACTGGACCAACCGAACATTCAACAGTTTCGGCAGAAAGTTCTCGAAGGAATGACAGCCCCGGCTCACTCAGGCGTCGACTGTGCCACTGCTACAACTTCAGCCGCTATTGTAGCCTCTACTCTTGCTACCACAACTTCTGCTGCTTTAGTAGCTGCTACACCTACTACATCAGTTTTTGCCGCTGCAGTAGCAGCTACTCCTGATACTACTTCTAATAATGATATTTCAAATTCAGCCGTTGCTGTAGTCACTGCAGCTACCACTACAACTTCTAATACTATTTGTGATCCAACTTCAATTGACACTGGTACTATCATCCCTGCCACTGCCTCGTCTTCTGTTACTCTATCTAAGAAAGCTTCTTTCTAATGCTACTGCTTATTTTGATACTACTAGTGCCACAGCCGCTACTACAGCCGCTACTTTTACTGATACTTTTATTACTGATACTACTTTAGTTCGTTTTACTACTGCGATATTTTTTATTCTTTAAAAATCAGTGCGTGTGTTTTGTGTGTGTGTGTGTGTGTGTGTGTGTGATATTTTTGAGAATTAATCAAGAGAGTAGTGGCATAATTTATTTTAAGAAAATTTAATTTGGCTTTTCGGATTTTCAAAATTTTTTTACACATACATATTCACAGGCCAGACCATCCTCATTTAATTACGTCAGAAAACTTAAGAATTCCTCCCTTTTTAATTTTTTGAAAATTGTGTAAAAATGTAATCACCTTAGCTAGGAAAAACAATAATAATAATAATGTCAAAAATAACGAGTGACGTATCTGATGGGAAGATTATTTATAGAAGCGCTATTTATAGTAACAGAAGAACGAGCTAGATGACGTCAATTGTAATCTCTAAGTGTGAGGATAAATTGTGATGGTGTTGTTAATTTATTTATTATGGATAATTTGTAACATATATTCTATATATATATGTATGTGTATGTGCTGAACTATAAAATTTTACGTGGTTTTTCTTTAGTCAAGGTTGTTGTTGTTGTTGCTGTTGTTGTGATTATTGTTATCGTGATTGTTGTTATCGTCTTTTCGTTATTGTTGCAATTATTGTTATGATTATTGTCGTTGTTATTTTTGTTGTTGTTAACTTCCAGTTTGAGTGCCCTCTTCACTGCTTCGTTATTGTTATTGTGTTATCCTTAATAACGTAAATAATAACATATATATTAAATAAAAATAATAATAAAAAAAAAATAGTGAAAATATAATAATAATAATAGAAACAACACAATCGCTCGTCAAAATTTCATTAATGCCTGTCCTTACTTAATTTCCTTCCACCAATACTGATAATACCCCAAAAAAAAACTAAAAACATTAGATTTCGTAATAGTTATATTATATTATGAATTATATTATATTATGATAATTATATTAAATTATATAGTTCTTTGTTGACGTTGAATCGTAATAATGTAATATTACGTTATATAGTTCTTTGTTTACGTCACAGTGGCCGTTCTGTTTCCTTGAGATATGGGTTAAAAGATATGGCGTCTGTGTTATTACTTTTTGTATTGACTTATCGTTATTAATTTTTTTTATTATTATTTTTTAAATTCAAATTAAATATGAATTGTTTGTATATATAAATTTTTTGTATATATATATATATATATATTAACACATTTTGATTGACAGATAATGCCTTACACACACACAAATACACAGACACACACACAACACACATGTGTTTTCACAGCTTTTAAATTAATTGTGTTATGTCATTCGACTCTGATCACAATCACCATCTCATATCACGTGCTTACTAAACTAACAGCTACATTTGTTAGATTATAACGTTATGTGTTTATTATTATTATTATTATTATTGTTAATTATTATTATTATTACTATTATTATTTGTTCTTATATAATTTAGACAGATTCAATGATTTATTTTCGTTTTATCGAAGTGATTTGTAAGGCAAGATAGATACATAACTAACATAACATATATACGATGTGTATGTG